CACCACCGGCATCAGCATCGACACGGGCACCCCCACCGGCACCGGCACCGGCATCAGCACCGGCACCAGAATCGGCATCAACAGCGGCCCCGGGATCAGCACCGGCCCCGGCCCCGACACCATCCTCGGTACCGACACCAACACCCCCGCCGGTGTCGCCGGGGCCACCAGGTGAGCGCTGACGGTGCCGCGGTGGCACCGAGGCCCTGGGCCACGGCGGGGGCTGCCCTGTGCTCCTGGGGGCTGGGGAACAGGAGCCTCCCGTGGGGATTGGGAGCCCACCCCGGGAAAGGAGTGTCCCCCCTGGACACAGCCCCGGTGGAGAGGCGGGAGGGGCAGGGGATGGACACCCACCACCTCGGGGGGCAGGGGGGTTTGGGGGGGATGAAAGTCTGTGGCAGCTGCGATGCTGAGCAGGGCAGGGAGTGTCTCTCGAGGGCTTGGGGGGTTTGCCCATCCCACCGGGAGCGGGGGGCTCCGGGGAGGATTTGGGGGAGCAGTGGTCAGGCACCGAGCAAGGCACATCTGTCTCAGGGTGGGCACTTCAGAGCAACCCTCGTGGTGGCACCTCTGTTCCTCCCTGGCACCCACTCCCGCCCTCTCCTCCCTGGCAGGTCCGGGGGTCACCACTGCCCCCTCCACCTTTCACCCTGCCCTGTCCTCATCTCAGCGACCACCACAATTCCCCTCCTCCTCCAGCTCCAGCTCCAGCCTTCATCTTCCCGGATTAGAGCTTCCCGGATGATTTGGGGCCCGGGGAGCCGGGGGTCCCCAAGCAGTGACAGCTGAGACCCGCTCGGTGCAGGGGACACGCTCGTCTGGTGCTTCCTCCCGGGGCGGCATCCTGTCGGCAGGAAAGGGCTTCCCCCGGGGACAACTCCTCCTCCCCACCTTCAGGGCATCATTTTGGCAGATTGCCCCTGCAGATGCTTGGACCGGGTCCCTTTGGTCCCCGGAGCTGGCTCCTGTCCCCTGGCTGCGCGGCAGTGCCACCGGGGAGGTGGCAGAGGCAGGATGTGCTGTGCTCACCCCAAATGCTCCCAGTCCGTGACCTTGGGGTGTCCACCACGGGACACAGTCCTTGCTGTCACAGGGGGCTCCTCCTGGGATGTCCCTGTGGGCACAGCCAGGCAGGAGAGGTGGGAGATGTAATGGGGGGTGAGGTGGAATGGACATTGTCTCCCTGTCTCCACCCTTTATCCCCTCAGCACCATCTCTCCCCCAAAAAAAAAAAAAGCCAACAAAAAAGAAGGTTTTGGAGGTGAAACCACAACAGCTGAGCCAGGTTCACACTTTTTGAGACTGGGGGAGTCATAACATTTCTCCCCAGACTGAGATGCTGGGAGGCAGAGGGGGAGGCAGCTGGAGCTGGGGGTGCTCGGGGGGGAGGTTGTTGGGGTTTGGTCACAGCCACTTTTGGGGCAAAACCTTGGGGTTCATCTCCTGGGTCAGTCAGAGAAGCTCTGTCCCCCTTTCCTGCCCTGGCCTGTGCTCCCCCACAGGACAGGGTGCTCCAGGGCCCAGGGGGGACACAGCACCATGGACAGGGTGGGGACACTGCCCTGCTCTGCCCTTGGCTCCTCGGGCAGGCGGTTCTGGCCCCCGGCTCAGCCCAGGGGGGTTGGATCCAGCTCTGCTCCCTCAGGGATGGGCATTTCCAGCCATGCCCCTGATCCCAGGATACCTGCACAGATTCCAAGGTGTCTGCATGGATTTCTTCCCTCCTTGGCTTTTGGTCCCTTCCCTGGCAGCTCCCTGGGAGCTGAGTTGGTGTCACTGGGTGGTGGGGAAAGTGCTGCGACAGCCACCGCGCTGGAGAATACCGATGATGCTCCCGGGATCTGCGCAGGGATGGAGGAAAACAGCTGGATTGCCTCCATGCAGGGCCTCTCCACCCCCTGTGAGTGGCTGCTGCCTGGAGAGCAGGGTGTCTGGGAAGTTTCCCACCCCCTTCCTGGGATGAGTTGCAGTGGGAAGGAGATGATCTGCTGGGATCCAGGGGCCTGGAGGAAGCACGTGCCTGGGGCTCCCAGGGGAGCCGGAGGTACCAGCTGCTGCTGGTGGCCTGGAAAGCCTTCAGCTGGCTCTGCTCCCCAAAATCAACGAATTAACTGGGTGCCTGCACATATCCTGCCTCCTCCAAATTCAGTGCTGCTTCCTCAGGACACCCTGCTGCCCTCTCAGCCATTCCCAGCTGGACCATGGCCCTCTCCAGGTGCCACCAGTGGCAGGTGGAGAAGAGGGACCTCGCGCTGGGAGAGGACAGCTGGCAGAGCCCGAGGCTGTCCCGCTGCATTCCAGAAATTCCTGGTGACTGCCACGAAGCCCCGGGTGGCACCCAGCCCAGGATGTACTTGCAGGCACCCAGCTGGCCCCCTGTGCCCCCCCAGCAGCCCACAGCATCCTCACAGCTCCTCGGGTTTCCCTTGGCACAAATCCCTGTGCCACCCCCATGCTTGGCAGACTCGAGGGTGTTCCTGTCCCCGTCCCAGAAGCTCTGATCGGGTCCCTCAGCTCCCAGCAGGGATGCTCAGGCTGGAGCAGGGGATGAAAAGCTGTTTGGGGAGGGGGGAGCCTGAAACTGCTGAAGAATTAAAGGGATGGAGGGGTAGGTAACATGTTTGTTATGCAAAATTCCAGCTTGTGGAGTGTTGGAGCAGTTAAGTGAGGGTTACAGTGGGAGCTCCATTATCCAGGGCTCCACCATCCTAATTCCCTCCCTTTGGATCACCTCCTGTTTACCTCCCTTGTTCCAAGAGCAGGGCTGGCTCATCCCTGGTGCAGGGCCCTCTCCAAGGGGCTGGGGAGGGGTTTCCATCCCCCTCATGTCAAAGGGGCTGTTGAGTTTTCCCCTTGGACTCAAAAAGTATCCAAATGCAGTGGAAGGGACTGAGGAGTGTGGGGGAGAGGGGCTCACCCAGCACCCCAAACTCCCCAGGGAAATGCCTGCTCTCCTCCCACCACACCAGTTGACCTTTAATCAGTTAATTAAGGGTGAGTAAGTGACGGGGGTGGAGGTGGGGCTGCTCCCCAGCCCTGGAAGAGGTCACAGCCCACAGGCTGGCAAACACCTGGCTGGTCTGGGAGTGGCTGGAGCAGCTTCCATCACTCCCTTGGATGTGGTGGGATCCCTCCCTGCACCCTTGCCTGGGAAGCTTCCATTCCTTCCTTGGACGTGGTGGGATCCCTGCCTGGACTCTTCCCTGGGATGTGGCAGGATTTCTCCCTGCATCCCTTCCTTGGTAAGCTCCCACCCCTTCCTGGTGTTCAGTGAGATTCCTCCCTCCCTCCCTCCCTGCACCCTTCCCCGGGATTTGGTGGAATCCCTCCCTGCACCCTTCCCTGGGATGTGTTGGGATCACTTGCTGGAAATCCTCCTTCCCTACCTGGGATGTTGTGGGATCCCTCCCTGGGATGTCTCCATCCCTCCCTGGGATGCAGGACAGCATCTCCCCCCTGGGAGCTCTGGGATCCCCAGCCTGGGGGATCAGGGGTGGGCTCAGGGGAATTCTCTTTAAGGAACAATCCCCATCCCCACCCAAACCATGTGGGCTGAGGGTCTCTCACTGCTGGTGCTGAGCTGTCTCATGGAGCTGTTCCCTCCCCTGGAGCTGCCAGCACTGTCAGCCCTCGGGATTTGCCCTGTTCCCACAGAAAACATCCACAGCTGGAATATCACCGGTGATTTTTGGGAGTTCTTCATTTCCCTGGTGCCACTGAGCAGGGAGGGCTGTGCCACAGGGAGGGGACCTTCCTACTGTCCCTGAGCTGCTCCCACTCCCGTGCTTTGCCCATCCCGAGTGTCAGAGCCTGGGGAGGGAGCTGATGGATCTTTCCTCAGGGATATCCTATTGCCAGGCAGCTCCATCCCCGGCGGCAGCATTCCCAGAGCCCTCCCTGCATCCCTGCACGGGGACCATCCCCCCTCCCGCCCTGGGGAGCAGGAACCCTGCTCCACGTGGTGGTAAAAGCCAGAAGTGCTTGTTTTCAGCCCAAAGTGATGGAAACATTCCCCGGGGGAGGACTGGGAGCTCAGGGGAGAGCAGGAGGGAAGGGAAGCAGCGATGCCAGCTGGGCTGGGAGCCCCAGGAGGGAGCAGAAGAGGAGCAGGGATTTTGCCATTCTCTCTCTGAGTGAGGGGGCCGGCACAGCTGAGGTTATCCAGGTTATCCATCCCCTCTCCAGTGCTGGATATTTGGGATGCAGGATGAAGCCTGGCAGTGCTGCTCCACCGTCAGCCCACGTCCTCGTGCCTCTGCCTGCTGAGCTTCTGGTGCTTTGCTCTTTAATTAGACCAACTCAGGCTTGTCCAGGGATGAAATCCGGGTGGTCCAGAGGGAATCACTCACTTGTGTTTCCCTGGTGCCTTTGGCATCTTTCCAGGATGCCCCGTGAGCTGCTCCCATGGGAAAAGGTGCCTCAATTTTATCCATGTGTGGACTCGTGGGAGGTGCTGAGATCAGCAGAGCCGTGCTGGGATTAAACTGAGTCCTCCAGAGAGCTTTTTCCTGCCCAATCCAGGCCTGCAGGATCAAAAGGGGATTTTATCTGTGGTCACCACCTTTTGGGGAAGCCAAGCCCTGGTGTGGGATGAGCACCTCGAGGTCTGGAGGCATTTGGGTTGGAAGCCTTTGGGTTTGTCCTGGAGGAAGACTCTGTGTTGGGATGTCAGTGAGGTGCATTCACTCTCATCTTGGAGCAGGACTCGCTCTGATTTGTGTTTCCAGCATTATAAAAAGAGGGGACAATTTATACAAACGGCCTGAAATCCTGTCTGGAGAGACTCAGGTTGGATTTTAGGGTTTTTTCCTGGTTTTCATGGGAGTGTTAAACACAGCTGAGCTCTGCCATCATCCCCTTGTCTGGTGGAGCAAGAACACATCCAGAGGCTCCTGCCTATGGATGTCACAGGAAAACCCACCTCCTGTGCTCATCTCCCTGTGGGCATCCAGGAATTCCCTGTAGGGAATGAAGATTATCAATGTCCCATTCTGGAGTCCTTCCTTCTCCCTTCTGGCCTTGAACAAGAATTTCTGTACCAGTATCCAACAAGCCTGGATGAGCCCATCCAGGGAAGGGTTTATGCTCCATCTTGGTTGGCCTTATTTAGGACAGGTTTAAGTGTGAAAAAGAAGTTTTAAAGTCCTACAGCTGTAAAAAAAATTCTAAAA